AAGTGTTTAGGAATAGTCAGATGAACCAACCAACAAGCAAGCCGGCAACACAGGGTGCTGGCCAGTCGTCTGACCTCACTCCCGCCTGGAGAACGCAAGACGGAGACCAGGATGGGGAGCGCCTGACCTGAGCTCACTCACCGCGGAAGGCAAGATGGCGGCCCGAATGGGGAGCGCCTGAGCTCCCACTCCCCGCCCAGAGAATGCAAGACAGCGGCCAGGATGGAGAGCGCCTCAGCTCACTCTCCGCCTGGAGAACGCAAGATGGCGGCAACACGGAGGGCGCCTGAGCTCATTCCCTGCCTGGAGAAGACAAGATGGCGGCTAGGACGCGGAGCGCCTGAGCTCACTCACCACTGGGAGAATGCAAGAGGGCGACCAGGATGGCGAGCGCCTGACCCGAGCTCACTCCCCGCCTGGAGAACGCAAGATGGCAGCCCCAATGGACAGCGCCTGAGCTCATTCCCTGCCTGGAGAAGACAAGATGGCGGCTAGCACGGGGAGTGCCTGAGCTCACTCACCGCCGGGAGAACGCAAGACGGCGACCAGGATGGAGAGCGCCTGAGCTCCCACTCCCCGCCCACAGAACGCAAGATAGCGGCCAGGATGGAGAGCGCCTGAGCTCACTCACCGCCGGGAGAACGCAAGATAGCGGCCAGGATGGAGAGCGCCTGAGCTCACTCCCCGCCCAGAGAATGCAAGATGGCGGCCAGGATGGGGAATGCCTGAGCTCATTCCCTGCCCGGAGAAGACAAGATGGCGGCTAGGACGCGGAGTACCTGAGCTCACTCCCCGCCTGGAGAATGCAAGATGGCGGCCAGGATGGGGGGTACCAGAGCTCACTCACCACGGGTAAAAGGCAAGATGGTGGCCAGGATGGGGCGCACCTGAGGTCACTCACCGCTGAGAAAAGGCAAGATGGCAGCCAGGAGGGGGAGCACCTGAGCTCAATCCTCGCCCAGAGAATGCAAGATGGCGGCCAGGATGGGGCGCACTCACCACCAAAAAAAGGCAAGATGGCGGCCAGGATGGGGCGCACCTGAGCTCCCGCTCCCCGCGGGGCAAATGCAAGATGGCGGCCAGGACGCAGCACGCCTGAGTGCAATCCCCTCCCACAGAATGCAAGATGGCGGCCAGGATGGGGAGCACTTGGGCTCAATCCTCGCCGGAAAAATGCAAGATGGCCACCAGGATGGGGTGCGCCTGAGCTCCCACTCTCCACCAGAGAAGGCAAGATGGCAACCAAGATGGTGAGCGCCTGAACTCAATCCCTGTCTGGAAAATGCAAGATGGCGGCCAGGTTGAGACGCACCTGGGCTCAATCTTCACCTGAAGAATGCAAGATGGCGGCCAAGACGGGGCGCGCCTGAGCTCCCACTTCCCGCCCGGAGAAGGCAAGATGGTGGCCAGGACGGGGGGCGCCTGAGCTCACTCCCCACCCAGAGAAGGCAAGATGGCCGCCAGGACGGGGCGCGCCTGAGCTCTCACTCCCCACCTACAGAAGCCAAGATGGCCACCAGGACGGGGCGCACCTGAGCTCCCACTCCCAACCCAGAGAAGGCAAGATGGCCGCCAGGACGGGGCGCGCCTGAGCTCCCACTCCCCACCCAGAGAAGGCAAGATGGCCGCCAGGACGGGGCACGCCTGAGCTCACTCCCCACCCAGAGAAGGCAAGATGGCGGCCAAAATGGGGCGCGCCTGAGCTCCCACTCCCAACCCAGAGAAGGCAAGATGGCCGCCAGGACAGGCCGCGCCTGAGCTCACTCCCCACCCAGAGAAGCCAAGATGGCGGCCAGGACGGGGCACCCCTGAGCTCACTCCCCACCCAGAGAAGCCAAGATGGCGGCCAGAATGGGGCGCGCCTGAGCTCCCACTCCCAACCCAGAGAAGGCAAGATGGCGGCCAGGACGGGGCGC